CTTTTTTTTCTAAAACACTAAAATGTAAGGAGTTCAAGTTTTTAGTTTTGAAATTAATTATAAAATTATGTAAATTGTCAGTTCACACATGTTGCTTTCAAATGTACTTGTGGCTGAGCAATTCTAGCATTTACCTAATAAAGTAAAATGTTGGGAGCTATTGCATGACAATATTATTAACAGCTAGATGTTCTACCACATGAATTTTTGTTTGGGTTTGAGGGTGAATTTGGCAAGTTACTTACTTTAAAGACAATTGTCACTTATAGCTCTTTGTATCTCTGCACTGGGGTAGCAACTTGGAACTTGTTTGCCTTTGAATCCTTCTTGAGCCTCTCTTACCTGCCTGTTGAGCTAAGCTTTCCATGGTAAATCTGAATAAAATCCAAAATCTCTGGACTTAATATCTTTTATTTTATTTAGAAAGATATTTAATCACAACCTTACATATGCCGGTATTATGAAAGAAAGAATTATGATGCCATGAGACTGTGTTAGAGAAACTTCCTAATCCAGGAGTTACTTGAAATTGTAATTGATCTATGGCTTGAAGGTAAAGAAAGAGTTTAAGAGTGTTTTAAATAAAGAGGAAATACCATGAACAAGAAGTTATTAGTGGAAAGAGGTTTAGGGGACTGCAGGGAGTGTGGCTGAGCACAAAGGATGCTTGTGCAAGATGAAGCTGTAGAGATGGAAAGAGGTACATTTATGTAGCTTTTTTTTTTTTTTTTTTTTTTTTTTTTTTTTGCTACTATAGTAGGATTCCTCAGAATAAGGAGGGAATAAATTTCAAATGAGGGTGACGTAGTTTGTCTGATGTCAGAAAGTTTTGGTTCTGCCATATAGCGGAGAAGAGCTTCCAGTGGAACCACAGTGAATATGTGAAGACTATTGGGAGGCTATTACAGGTACAATGGTAGCCTGGATCACAGATAGAAACACTGGAGAAAGCAGACAGTGTTCAGAAATATTTAGGGGGTAAAATGAGAGCAGTTTCTATTGAGTTTCATTGAGATGACAAGAGAAGTTGCTATTTATTAAGATGAAGAATGAAAAGAAAGTGAATTTTAGGGATGGAACCCACTATTCTAGTATGGATTTTTCAGTAGAGGCTTTGGTTAAACCATTACAAACACTATTTGGGGACTTGGATTAGAAATAAGAATTTTCCTTTTGCTAAGTGAAGAATATTAATTACATTGTATCTTTGAGTTCATATTGTTAGTATTTAGGCATCTTTACTGGCCTGTCCTTGGGGTTCTAACAGGATATATCCTCAACTGTAGCCACTAAGAGTACCTTCTGTGCATATTCACTATGTTCCCAATAAATTGAGCCCCTCTCTCTGTTACCCGCTCTTTCTCCCCCCTTTTTCCTTTCTTTCCTCCTGCTACTCCTGTCTCCAGAGGCCTGTCTCCTCTGTTCCCTTCCCCCTTTTTATGATCCCTTTCCCTAATAAAAACCCCTCTGCTTGAACCCTGTGGCATGGTGTTTTTCTCTCCAGTGCCTCTTTCCTTAAGTTACAGCACGTATCACATGTGTTTTATAAAAGTTAATCACATTTCTGAAAGAAATTTTAATTTTTGTAGATCTTCTAAAGTTGTTGGTCTATGAAAGGGAACTTTGATTCATAAATTTTATTCTCTTCCTTGTATACTGTGGCTCAGGCCTTGAAGGAGTTTTACCTGGAGGCTTGCTCACCTGCTACTCTGTGAGAGGCTGTGTGGGGTTCCTCCTCATAGGGTTTCTTTGTGTAGCCCTCTCAGCCCTGGAACTTGCTTTGTAGACCAGGCTGGCCTCGAACTCTGCTGGGATTAAAGGTATGCACCACCAGGCTGAGATGCCATGTAGTTAGAGAAAAAACTAATGAGGCCATAGTGAAGTAGTTGAACTGGAGTAAGCTGTAGTTGTAGGGTATCCTGGGAGTTTGAAGTTCCACTTTGGGAAGCTTCTTTGTCAAGCATTTTTTGGGCCACCTAGAAACAAACACCGATCCTATGCATATAGTGTGACCTAATGTTCACTTCTTCAGGGACCTACTTGGACTAAGAGCTACAGGAAGAATTGAGGAATTATAATCTTTAATGGTGGCCTCAGAAATAGGTTGGTGCAACTATGAGTGTTATTGTAGGCACATGGACAAAGGAAGTGTTGACACTGGACTAGAGGGGAGAGAGAAAACATAGTTTCCCACCAGTTTTGTCTTATGGCTTGGTGCCTTCTACATTTTTTGTAAGTTTTCCAACAAGTTTCTATTATTATCCTATTTTGGGAAGCTGAAAGGTGTAAGAGTACAGGTCTTGATCCCAAAGGACAATGACAGTATATTAATTAGCTATGTATATGGTTGTGTGTGGAGAGTGGGTGGAATGAGAAAGGGAGAGCAGCTTGGAAGAGAATGAAGGAACCCAATTTAGGGCTTGCTGGACTTTCAGCCTGGGGTCCTCTCATGCATTCTTATAGTAATTGTGTTTGGCAGAGGCCTTCTGTCATATGAGAAAGGAGGTTCAGAGAGGTGATGTGAAGTATGTTTAATTTACCCACTTAGTGAAGATTATGCAGGCATTGCAGAGAGATGTCCTAGGTTAGTGTATTTTGTCTTGCTGTGGTGAATAAAGTGACTATGACTAAGTAATCTTGGGAAATACTGTGTTAGATATTTCTGTAAAATGGTCATGTTTCATTGAGCAGTTTTGAAAAGACAGGTGAGATATATTGTGGCTTGTATCCCTTGCCATCTACTTCAGGGCCGACTCTAGGGCTGTTTGCAGGGGTTCAAAGGTGGGTGAAGATGCTGTGCAGTTATGCCTGTGAGCCTTTGCAAACTTGGTGGGCTTTTGAATGTTACTCAGCAGTTAGGTGAGGCAGTGAGGTTCTGGACTAGAAGCTGTTTCTTTACTTAGTGGTTACATAGTGTGCCCAACTGGTTTGGCCACCCATTCTTTACAAGCCCACTAGAATCCACTTTAATAATGAAAGCAGAAAAAGGGTATTTGTTCAGTGTAGCCACATTATGATGGATGGACGTGAGGGGGTTGTCACTGGATCTTTGTTCTTTATTAATTAGCTCCTTTAATTGAATTATTGAGAACAGGTGGCTTGTTGGAGCATGGGACGTTAGTCCCTAGCTTCCTTCTGGAGACTCCACTACTTGTCACAGAGACCGAACTTCCCTTGAAAGGACTAGTTCTCCTGTTTGACTGTACTCTTCCTTGGGGAGTATTGAGCCCTCCACTGTTCTGAACCTGTGCTTGCATAGAGTAAGTCAGGGAGACTTAGCTGAAAGAGTCAGAGCACCCAACTGTCAGAAACTCCACAGAATCTGAAAACTGGGGCAGGCAGTTGAGGTCTCCAGTGGAATCTCCCTTTCTTTTCTCTCTTGATTCATGCTGGCAATTTGTCCTCATGCTGAGATTGTCTCATGGTTGACTCATAAAGCTGTAACAGCTACATTTGAAGAGAAGCATAAATAGTTGTGTCAGTTTGGACTTAGTAGTCAAAAGGCTATTTTCTCAGCTGGCTTTGTCCATTTCTTAATGCACAGAGAAAAATATTTCCCAGTAGACCTCTTTTTTTCTTATTTATTAAAGTATGTGATTACACGTAGCTGTGGACAGGTGAGGAAGATCTGGTTGGCATAGATGGATTATGGTATGTTCTATTGGGCAGGCACAATATTCTATTTTTGGTAAACTAGCTTTGAATTTTTTTGTATGTGCTCAAGTGTGTGTGTGTGTGTGTGTGTGTGTGTGTGTGTGTGTTTAACCATCTATTGAAGGACATCTGGATTTTCTAGTTTGTGTCTATTATGAATAAAGCTTGTATAAATGTTTATATAGACTTTTCTTTGAATTTAAAAATTATGGTAAAATATAATTTATTATGACCTTCTTGAAGTACAATGACATTAGGTGCGTTCATATTGTTGTATAGCCATCAGTTGTGATATTTTGTTTATGATCTAACAAATAAATCTTACCTGAAGATCAGGGTACAAAGCTAGCCACACTAGTTAGCCATAGAAACCAGACAGTAGTGGTGCTACCTTTAATTCCAGCACTTGGGAGACAGAAACAGACTAGTCTCTGTTAGTTCAAGGCTACTCTGAGCTACATGAAATTGATCCAGTCTAAAAGAGAAACGAGCACACCCAAAGGTGATTCCAACACTTGGGATTCCACACCTTTAATCCCAGCACTAGAGAGAAATATAAGGCAGGAGACAGTTCAGTGCAGTATGACGTTTGATGGGGAGCAGTGTAGTCTGCAGATGAAATCTAGTGACAGGCTCACCATGACACAGGTTGAATAGCCCTTCTGAAAAGCCGGCAGGCATGGCACGCAAAAGGTTTCAGATTTCAGAGCATTTAGGAGTAAGGGTTTTTACATTAGGGAAACACAACCAGAATTTTCAAAACCTTATGATAAACTGAAATCTGAAACACTTGTGGTCTCAATTATTTAGATAAGAAACAATATATTCACCACTAACTAAAGTAGAACTTGTATTTAAAGAAAGGCTGAAGAGAGTTTTATTATTCATCAGTTGGGAATCATTGTGGTATTTAATCTTGGCATTTGCAAAGCAGCTTCAGCAGCATATGCTGCACTAAATAAATGAAAGTTTCCTACCTCTAATTTCCCATCTTTTTTCTTGGTGTTTGTCCCCTCTCTGCTATTTAAACCCACTGATTTACTTTCTCTTTCCCCCTGGCCTTCTTGACCCCTTCTTTGCCCTCTTATGGATTTCCTCAAGTTACTGGTTGTAGTTTTAGAACTTTTTTCTAGCCTTCTTCTTTCCATATTAAATATGTGCCCAGCATCCAGAATACATTTTCCTTTTTATACAACCTTATTTTTATCTCACTAGTCTTATCTTTTAATGGGGGGGGGCTAGAAAACAAGCATTAGAATTTAGAGGAAGAACTTTAAGCTTTGGTGTACTACTCTTTCTTACCAGTTTTTTAAAATTTAAATTTATTATTTATTTTTAATTCACAGGGAAGAAGAAGAGCGTCTGAGAAATAAGATTCGAGCTGATCATGAGAAGGCTCTGGAAGAAGCAAAAGAAAAATTAAGGAAGTCAAGAGAAGAAATCCGTGCTGAAATTCAAACAGAGAAAAGTAAAGTAGCTCAAGCAATGAAGATAAAAGAGACCAGGGTACTGCCACCCGTCCCTGTCCCACAGCGTGTAGGGGTCAGTGGTGGAGACCCAGAAGACAATGAGATCAGGAAGAAAAGAGAAAAAATTAAAGAGGTAATAAGCTGAGGTTGGTGATATGGAGTGGTTGCAGATACTTGTCTGACTGGATATTGTGTGGTGTTAAACATTTATTATGTTTGTTCTTTAATGTAGTTTTAATTCAGCTTCCAGGTTGTAGCAAGGATTGGAGTTCTGTCTTCTTTCTCCTCCTCCTACTCTTTTTTTGATAATGAAAGTTTTTGAAAAAGCACTTGATTCAAGTTACTTTAGATGGTTACTTTATCTTCACCATGCTAGAGGTCTTTTGAAACACAGGACTTTATAATAGAGTCTGTGTATAAGTTTATTGAGTAAGCAATTTAAAATAGTCAGTTTGAAGGAGGTGCACTAGATGCTATGCAGATACTGTCATAGACAAGGTTTTAAACAATTCATGCTGTATGAGCCATGTTTTAAGGAACTGTATTGCTGCTATTAGGACCATGCTCCTTCCAAAGATTCTTAATGGATTGAAGGAGAGAAAAAGGTAAATTTCAAAGTACTTTAAATTTATTTAGCCTCAAAAGTCTTTCAAGTTGTAGTTCTAGGAATTCCTGATTAAGGGAATAGCAGCTCTAGTGAATATGAATTTAACTGTATTAACTGGGGCTTCTGGTAATTTTGAGTATAGTTTACAGTTGTACTGCTTGAGAAGAAGCTTCATGAGGTGTAACAGCATCAACAAGAATAAATTTAATTTATACAGTCAGGTATCTCTGTATATATTCTGATAATGGATATATATTTTTAAAATTTGGTCTGGCAGTTTTCCTCACTGCCATGACACATTTGATAGGAGTTGCAAAAAGGAAGAAGGGAAGGAATGAGGGTGGGTAGGTTTATTTTGACTCACAGTTTGAGGGGAGGTGAGATGGCTAGTCATGCTGTATCTGCAGTCAGGAAGCAAGAGAATGGTGAATCCTGTACTCAGTTGGCTTCCTCCCTTTCTCCCCCTTTCCCTTAGTTTGAACCAAGTGGAAGGGATGGTGTCACTCACTTTCAGTGTGGGTCTTTCTTCCTCATTGAAGCCTTCCTGGAAACACCCTCACAGATGTAGCCAGAGTTGTTGCTAAGTGGTTCCTTATCCTTTGAACGAGGGCGTTTGGCATGGCTGATTCTAAGTCTGAAATATGCATTTGTCTCTGTCTCTTTCCTCTTGTTTCTTAGTTTTTCATTATTGGGAGAGTTAGCCATTACCAGTTTTAGGATTAAATTATATTATGTAAACCTTGAGATCATATAATGCGATGATCTCCTTTCTCTTAATGTTTATACTAATATGAATACAAAGGACTTGATTGCCCTACTTAATCTATGTACTCATCTAGTCATTGTGACTAGAGCAAGCATTGGCAAATGACAAACTGTGGGCTAAATTTCTTTCATTTGCCTGGTTTTGAAAAATCAATTTTAGTTAGAATACAGACATGGCCATTTGGTTACATATTATCTAGGATTGCGTTGTCCTTCTGCAATAGTTTAAATCTTTTGGTCTCTGGACTAAAGGTAAGAGATTGTGTAGTTAGGCTAAATTAGTTGGTGGTAGAAGCAAAGTCCCTTGATTGACAACCTAGTCATTATCACAGTGAAGAAAGAGGAGCTGTTTCCCATAGCATTAGCAGTTTATAAAAGGAAAGAATGCCAAATAGCTACCTTTCTTTCCCCAAATAACTTTTTGATTACATCTCATTTTTTTGTTGTATAGACTGAATTAAATGTAAGTGTTTTAGTTAGGGTTTCTATTGCTGCTACAGAATACCATAACCAAAAATGCAAGGGGAGGGAAGGGTTTATTTGGCTTAAACTTCCATGTTGCTTTTCATCATTGAAGGAAGTCATGATAGAAACTCAAACAGGCCAGGAACCTGAAGGCAGGACCTGATGCAGAGGCCATCGAGGGGTGCTGCTTACTGCCTTGCTAAGTCTGCTTTCTTATAGAACACAGGATCACCAGCTCAGGGATGGCACCACCGACTATCTTCCATCAATTGCTAATTAAGAAAATGCCCTACATGTGGGGAGCTATTTTCTCACTTGAGGTTCTTTCCTTTCAGATAACTCTAGCTTGTGTCAGGTTTACAAAAGACTAGCCAGCACTGTAGGTATCCGAAACAAGTGTTAATTGAATAATTTGCTAATGTAGGAAACATAGCAGAATGGGTAAAGATATAATAACCCAACTCTAAATTATATGAAGTAAAATAGTCTTTGGATAGCTTCAAGTGGTGCATTGTAATTTTTCTTTTCTCAGATGATGAAGCATGCCTGGGATAATTACAGAACGTATGGATGGGGACATAATGAGCTCAGACCTATTGCAAGGAAAGGGCACTCCACTAACATATTTGGTAAGGTAACTTTTTTGAATTACTGTGTTTTTCTTTAGTTTTGAAAACAAGATCTAACTTTTTTTTTTTAAATACTCTCCAAGATCTCTAGTCTATGCAGTTATAATTTGAACTTTTTGTTTTAGTGTGCCAAGATTGAGTTCTAGTTGCACTGGAATACATAGCTTTGTGTTAGATAATCTATTTATTTAGGCACTTAATAAGTTTGAGGATTTCAAAGCTTTTTTTTCTGCCTTTTTGTTTGTTTAATGTCTTGATAGGTAGGTAGCTATTTGTAGGGTTCTTTTCTTCTTTTTTTTCCTTTCAAGATAGTAAGTACCATTTGTGATACTTAAAGGAAAAGGAGCAGTTTAGAGATTCCAATGTGCTATTAGAAGTTTAATATGCAGCACACCAAAGGTGATTTGATTGGTAATTGAGTGGATGATACTGTACTGAGTGGATGATGCTGTGCATTGATGGTGTGTGTGTGTGTGTGTGTGTGTGTGTGTGTGTGTGTGTGTGTGTGTGTGTGCGCATGTGGGTGTGTGTGTGTGCGCGTGTGTTGAGGAAGGGGTGTAAATAGGTCTGAGCTGTATTCTTGAGCTTGTTCCTTTTTCCTTTTCAGCTCAGTTCACTTGTTAAATGTAACTTCCCCAATTAATTTTGACTAGTATGTTTCATTAAACCCAGGGTTAATTTTGGGAATTGTCAGAGCTGTTCCTTGGGTCATCACTCTTTCTTGTTCTGACTGTTGATGTGTTGGCTATCTTGGTAATATCTATAGTGTATAGTGAACACACTTACATGTTGAAGTTGCATCACTATTCACAGGCGGTGCAGTTATCTTTATTATTTCCTTCCTTCCTTTTTTTTTTTTTTGGTCATAAAAATGTTTTAAAAGTTGTCTTGGGTTTGAAAGTTGTGGGAAGAAAAGATTTCCTTTGGGTGGCTAGTCAGTAGCTACCAGCTTTTTCATAATATACTTTATTTAGCTGATATCATTTAATGAAATAGGGTATATTTCCTCTGCAAATGTGTTACAGATGAAGAGTTCTTGTTGCTTTGTAGATGTCACAAATGACAGTTCACTAAAAGAGATTGTATATTTATTTAATGGTCAGTTAAATTAGGCCATCTTCTGGTGACTATCCTTATATATTTAGCACAGTGATAAACAATGAGCCTTACGGATTTGAAAATAAACATATATTGAAAATAAGAAGTGGATGTGAATTTTCTACATTAAATTAAGTGTGTGTGTGTGTGTGTGTGTGTGTGTGTGTGTATGTATGTATGTATGTATGTACATATGTACACGCATGAGCTGTGGAACTGTGTGGAGAAACACATCTATCCCCTGGGTGGAGGTCATTTTTCTTCTTCCACCGTAGAGTTCCAGGACTCAAACTCAGGTTGCCATGTGTGTTTAGCAAGTGCCTTTACTGCTGAGTCTTGTCCCCAGCCCTACTTTTCACATTTTGCCTGTTGTATTGTGCAGTTCATCTCATGTCTTATCATGTACCAAATAGACACTAGTTCTAATCCTGCTTTTAAAATATTTTTTATTTTAAATTAAAATTAATTATAATATTTTCCCCCTTTCCTCCCTTCAACCTAACAAAAAAAAAAAAAAAAAAAAAACAAAAAACATATTTTAGCTCATGGAGAACATGCCCTATAAGAAGAAAGTTGTATTAAAATGGTAGATAAGAGCCCAAGTGTAGTCTGTGATTTTCAGTAGTCAAAATTAGGTGTTGATAGAGGTAATTTATTTATTTATTTTTTTATTTTCCAGACAAACAGTTTGCTAAGGAAGATTAGATCATTTACTATTCTTTGTCTAATATTCATATACAGAAAGTTTATGGAAGGTTTTTTTGAAGTCCAAAAATTGTTTCTTGTTTCTTGCTCTAATCTTTTTGTGTATCTCATTCTTGATAATAAGTATGATTTGATGATTTGTTTTTTTTAAAGTTTTTACTTTTTAAAAAATACAAAATGTTGAAGAGGGGTAGGGTAGTTCAGTGTCTCACCTGTCACTCCAAATTTTTTATGACTTTGTAGAAAACAAAACCCAAAACAGTTTTCTTAAATCCATTCTTGGTTACTGTAGATCATGTGGACATGTATTGCACCTTTACTCACAGTCTTGCAGGTTGCAGGAAGTTAATATAAAGCTTATCTTTATTTCTTTTAACTTTACCTGTAAATGGTCCTTTTATATGATAACTGAAATCAGTATTCTCCTGGCTTCACTCTAGTTAGTCCTTGCCACCAGAATACTCTGCAGATAACAGAAAACCCATTTCAAATGACTTCAACAAAAATAGCATTCAGTGATCTCTGTAGGGTCCTCCTGGTAGAGACCTAACTCAGCTCAACCTTTTTCCTATCCCTTCTTTCCCTTTGTTTGCTGGTTTCTTAGCAGTATAGGTAGACTTCAACATTTGATGTTTCAAGTGTTTAGACTACTTACAGCATTTGTAGAACCAGAGAAGGGTTTGGGTTTTTTAGAAATACGATTGAAAGAATCATTGTTTTTTGTGGTTGCTAACTGGTGGACAATAGTCATGTGTCTTCCCCTCTGTGGGCCTGCTGCTGTGGAGACCAGAAAGAGAAGACTGATGTTGAGGACATAGCTTAGCACTGATCCTAGTGATCCAGATGTGATTAAGAGAACAAATCTTTGGGTTTTCTAAAGTAAAGTTTTGGCTTGCTTATTGCTTGTCTATAACTTATCCTCTTGCTTCAGCTTCCCAAATTCTAGAATCACAGGTTTGTACAACCATGGTTGACCAGCATGGATGCTTTTTATTTGGATATTCTGGAGAATTGTGCAGTTATGTTAGAGAGAGGTCTTTTTGCACTTAAAAAGAGGAATTTTGATTCAGCAAAGACTGACATTGCAGTGCATTATTATTATCATTACTAATATTGTTGAGATACATCTGCCTCCACCTCCAAGTGCTGGAATTAAAGGCATATGCCGCCGTTACTACCCAGGTTGCTTTTGACTTTGTGTGTGTGTACAAATTTTTTTTTTCATTTTTGATTTAACTGGGACTTGATTTGCTAATGTTTAGTTATTTTTGTTTTCATATTCATGAGGAATATTTTATAATCCCTTTCCTTCTCCCCCCTCTCTTCCTCCCTCAGTTTAAGAACTCTTTATACTGAGCAACATCCCTGAAGTATAGTAGTTAGTATTTATTGCTACGCATATTTCCTGCTAACTGCTAGATTTAACTTATCCTGAGATTTTTTTTATGTCATATTTTCATTCAGTTAAAATATTCAGGAATATTTAATCAGGAATAATTAATTCAGGAATAAAATAATCTGGAATCCATATATTGATTTAAATATCTAAAATCTGATGTCAAGCCTCCCATGTAGCCTACCAATTGACCTGGCTATTTCTGCGACACTAGTGAGATCAGATGGTAGTTTTATTTTTCTTAGTGAATTCTTATTTTTTTTCAACAGTGGTATATGGTATATGGTATATGGTATATGGTATATGTTTGTTTTATTAACATTTGTATAGACTTGGAATTGTCAGCCTAAACACTAAAGTAGAATTTATTTTATGAAACTTGTAGAATGTGTGGCACTTTTATAGTGAGTGGCTCTTGGAATATTTGATCAAATGAATTATCAGAAAGGTCTCTGCCCTGCTAACCCAAAGTTTTGAAATTTATTGTGAATAAAGTAAGACTTTTAGTTTCTCTACTCATTGCATTTTTATTTCCTTTTTTTTTTTTTTTTTTTTTTTTTTTTTGTTGTTGTTTGTTTCTTTCCTCTGAAAATCTAGGTTAGGAATAGAATTACTATATGGTTGTTTTCATAGACCTATCTTTCAAATTAGTCATTTTGACACTTTTGTTTCTAACTTATTTCTGCCTTTAGCTTTTCTAGTATTACTTTGTTGTTCATGTTTGTTGGTTCCTTTTCTTTCTCAGTAATGTTGTAAAGTGAGCAGTGATGTTATTTTTTGACTATTATAATCTTTGATTTTTATAAAAAAAACCTATAAAATGAACTCATATGAAGGGGATGTTTTTGACAACATCTATTTCTTTCCTCCTAAATATAGGAAGCTCACAGATGGGTGCCACCATAGTGGATGCTTTGGATACCCTTTACATCATGGGACTTCATGATGAATTCATGGATGGACAAAGATGGATTGAAGACAACCTTGATTTCAGCGTGGTGTGTATACTTTGGCAATTCATCTAATCTCTAAATTATGAAAGGACAGTTTTAATGCTCTGGTCTGAATATTTTTATCCTCCCAAATTTATTTTGAAATCTAGTCACTAATGTGCTGGAACTAGGAAGGGTCAGTTCTTCAGGACAGAGCCATTGTGGATATAATTAGTTCCCTTATGATGTAGTTCTCAGAGAACTACTTTGCTCTGTGCATGAGAGGTCACATAAGTGCCATCATGAACCAGTTGAGAAGCTCTCACTAGTCACTGAATCTGTTGGTGCTGGACCCTGGACTTCCCAGATTCCAGGAAGGTGAGGAATACATTTCCATTAGTTGTCAGTTTGCATATGGTGTATGCTGCTTGATTACAGCGGGCCTCATGGTTGAAGGTATCAGTTGTGCTGTGAACATGTCCTCAGCGGTTTGCTGAACCCATGCCAGGTAATCATTCTTCTTTTAGGATTCTCAATTGTTCTGTTATTTTTGTGTACTCATCCTTTCTCACTATGTTTTCATACTTCTTGCAATTATCATTTAAGGCAGTGCCTTAGCTAGCTAAGGACATAATAGTAGGGGGAGAAGCAATTAACTAAAGTCTAACAAACTAACAAACTACTTTATTAATACTTAGTTTATAGCATTTATAATAAGAATAATAGACTACATCTGATTAGAGTCAGCAGTGGTGGAATATTGCTAACTATTGAAGAATCCCTTATTAATATGACATTTCTGAGAAGATAGCCAGAAAGCCTTTTACATGTGGCCATAAGTCTTATTGTTAATAGATAACATGGCTGAGGACAGAATTAGAGGTTTGAGATTATATTCTCTTGCCTTTTAAAAGTATATGCCTGTCATCTTTGCTTGTTATATTGTGTTGAAAACATCTGTCTTTCCCTCTTGCTTCCCCACTGCTCTCTAATTCTATTAGCAGTGAACTGTTCTTCAACTTTGCAAAACTGTCATTACTGTACTGATATGCCTCTTCCCTCTTCTGTCTCTCCATTTAGAACTTTTCTTACCTTCTCTCTCAAGTGAGCGAAGACAGGAATTTTACAAATAATTCTATAGCAATAGATGATGTACATATTACTTGTGAATATAATGTGGGATAAAAATTATTACTAATGCTGACTATTTTAAATTCAGTAGCCAGAAAAAAAGTTGGATAAGGTGATATTTTTGTTCAGAGACCTGTAAAAAGTGACAGAATGATTCACATAATAAGATGTGGGAAAACGGTTAAGAGAGTATTAAGTATAAAGTGACATCAGGCCTTAAGTTTGCCATTCTTGGAATAGCAAGCAGGCCATATGACCAAGTCAAACAAAAGAATCTTAAATTAGTGAGATGTCAGAAAAAAATGTGAGGGATTTGAACATGATAGATCTTAGTGGGCATTTTACTCAGAGAATAACTTAAGGCTGTTGAAAGAAGTGTTAACAGAATAGAGACTTAATTGCTACTGTAAGAGTTAAAATGCTTAGACTATATGGCACTGAATCTGATATTGAGTCTTGGACCATAAGGGTTGGGTATGGTTTTAGGATGCTACTTTTTATTTTAGTCTTAAGGGTCTTGGGTAAGGCAGAGATAGACTGAGCATTCTTATCTTTTCACTTATGACTGAAAGTGTAATTAAAACAAAATAAAAACCCTAATAGAGCCCCGTTAAACTTGGACAAGAGAGATGAGGGCATGTACAAAAGCATGAAATAAGTGTGAAGGCTATTGTTACAGTCTGAAGAGGCTCCTTTTCCTCTGTGTACTGAATGTCTACTGCATGTCCTATTGTTTGCTACATATTGGACAATTTGAATTAATATTAAGCACTGCTTTAAGGGATAGTGGTGGAATGAAGGATGCCACCAGACTATCATGGAGCACTAACATGGAGCTCCTCTGTTTCCTATTGGCCCAGTTATCCTGTGACTCTTGTCATCTCTCTATGGTTCCTAGCTGTCCTTCTGAGGGTTAAACTTTGCTGGTGGCAGGCATTCTGACCTCTAATGTGTAGGAGAGGATGTGCCTTAAGTCCACAAATTTCCAGGACTCTTTTGACCTTATTTGCAGTGTTGCAGCCAATGTGACCACCTGGGAGGCTGGATGTCTACAGAGCTGCATGTGGAGATGTGGAGGCCAGAACTTAATGTTAGATAAAGTCTTCCTTGATTGTTGATTGCTCTCTACCTTAAATATTGAGTCAAGGTCTCTCACTTGAACCCACAGTTTACCTGTTCCACCAATCTAGCTAGCCAGCTTGCTCTGGGGATTCCCTCTCTCCCATCTCTGCCTCCTATTCTTTGGGATTACATGGAGGACTGCCATACCTATTTGGCATTTATGGGAATACTAGGGCTCTGAACTGTAGTTCACATGCTTTCATGGCATTTGCTTTACCTGATGAGTTGTCTCGCCAGCCCTAGAAATTTCCCAATATCTAAGCCTAATGCTTGTAGCATATAGATTCTCTATCTATACCAGGCATCAGATCCTCTGGGCCTTGAGTTACAGACACTTCTGAGCTGCCATGTGGGTGCTGGGAATTGAACCAGGTCCTTTGGAAGAGCAGCCAGTGCTCTTAACTGCTAACTCTCTATCCTCTGTTTAGTTTTTTAAAGGGTTTTATCTATTGCTACTTATTATAAAAAACTTTCTGCCATATTTATATGTGTATGCATACTACAGTGTACAAATAAAGATTATTGGGCAGTTTATGAGAGTCTGTTCTCTCCTTCCACAATAATTCCCTGAAATTGTTTGTATATTACATATGCAAATATTTGTGGTGAATTTTCTCCAAATTGTTTGCCCTTTAGTTTTGTTTATGATCTTTTCTTGTAGCTACTTTGCATGTTAGGAAACGATAAATTCCTAGTTGATTTATTACAAAATTTTGAGTTTATTTTTATACATTATCTGCTTTCTTAAGTTTGCAAGTTGTCACATTTCTGCTTCTGTATTTTATTTTTTAAATTTCTAGCTATCTTTTTCATTTTAATATATGTGTGCTGTGAAGCTATGAACATCAATATTAGTTCCTGACATAGGAGCTGGTTTTCAGGAATATTAACCATACCTCTCTTGGGTTTTGGCATCTCTTATAACAATTATTAGGTTATTAGATACCAGCAAAAATGTTTAATATTCATGAGAAGAGATAGAAATAGTTGATGCTACAATAATTAAAATAAAAATAATGGAGTCATTAGAGAAGTTTTTTTTTTTTTTTTTTTTTTAAATGTACTTGAGATCTATTATTCAGGAAGTGGAGGCCTTCATAAGGAGCCAACAGTGGTCAATGGTAGTGAATACTGTCATAATTTCCCAGGATTGTGTAGGGTATAAAACGGTCCATTGGTTTTGTCAGTTAGGAAGCTGTGGTGATGGTAATAGAGGAACTGTGGTGAACAAATAGATGAGGTTGCATGACATGAGAAATGAAAATACAGAATATTAAAACATTCTGTCTGTGAGAAATAATTGAAATACTAAAAACACTTTGAAACTATAATGTATTTTGTGTGAGTGTTTTCACTTTGTCTCTACAGAATTCAGAGGTGTCTGTATTTGAAGTTAACATTCGATTTATTGGAGGCCTCCTCGCAGCATATTACCTGTCAGGAGAGGAGGTGAGTAGTCAAGTAATACCTTGTTTGTTTTCTTAAGAAGGGTTGGAGAAAGGATAGGCAGGACTAGCAGGCAGAGAGAATAAATAGGAGGAACAATCTAGGTGAAAAAAGAATAAAGTCAGGCAGTGGTGGCACATTCCTTTTAATCCAGGAACTTGGGAGGCAGAGGCTAGCAGATCTCTGTGAGTTCAAGGCCAGCCTGCTCTACAGAGTAAGTTCCAGGACAGTCAGGGCTACACAGAGAAACCCTACCTCAAAAAACCAATTAAAAGATGGGGGGGGGGGAATGAAATATTTTCCTAGCAGAAGAATATTGTTTTTTCTAACTTGCATATTACTAAACTAATATAAAGATTTTCTTTTAATACAAATATTAGAATCTACTTGGCTAGTTTTTACAAATTAAAGTTTTGGTTGGGTTTTATAAGCTTAGAGAGAGTTGGAAGATTAATAGTTTGGCTCTTTGGATTTATGAACACTTTGTTTTCATTTTAGAATTTTATTTAGGTTTTTGAAAAATATTTTGTATGAGTGTTATGTCCATATGTATTTCTGTATACCATGTACCTGCCTGGTGCCTGGGGAGGTCATAGAGGGCATCAGATACCCTGGACCTGGGTAAGCAGTAGTGAGCTACCAAGTAGGTGCTGGGAGTTGAACCCAGCTCTTCTGGAAGAACAGCCAGTTTTTTAACCGTTGAGCCACCTCTCTAGCCCTTATTTAGGATCTTAAAGGTTTTTTTTTTTTTTTTTTTTTTTTTTAAATGTGTTGGTATTTCCTTATAGAACATTTTTATTATACGGGACAGCTTTCAGGAGGCTGTTCTCTCCTTACACCAGGAGAGTTTTCTAGTTTCAGTAATTAATTCTGATAGCTCTAAATTGAATAGATTATTTGTTTGTTTTGAGACAGGGTTTCTCTATGTAGCTTTGGAGCCTGTCCTGGCACTCACTTTGTAGACCAGGCTGGCCTCGAACTCAAAGACATTTACCTGCCTCTGCCTTCTGAATATTGGGATTAAAGGAGTGCACCACCACCCAGCTGTAGGGATGTTCTTTGTGAAGAGTAATATTAATTAGTAAAAGGGTTGTCTTACTTTTCTCTGTAGAGAAGAGTTTTCTTTTTCTTTCCTTAATGCTTTGCCTAAGATGTCCATTATAAAATTTAATAGGAATTGTCAGAGTTGGGATCCTTGCCAGGCTCTTAGTCTTGGGGAAAGCATTTGGTTTTATACTATTAAACATAATGTTTGCTGTGTTATCATCATCATCATTTTTTATTAATATTTTGGTAGATACCTTTTATCAACTTGAAAATGTCTCTGAAATTCCTAGTTTGGTGGATTTTTTTTCCCCCATAAATGGATTTTTTTGAACATGTTTTTATTTATGTTTTACATTCCAATCCAAGTTCCCTCTCCCTCCTTTCTTCCCACTCCCTCTCCCCCTTCCATCTGCTTCTCGGAGAGGTAAGGCCTCCCCTAGGAAGTCTACTAAATCTGTTCCATCATCTCCTTGAGGCAGTACCAAGGCACTTCCCCACCTGCCACACCCCTGTGATAGGCTGAGCAAGGTAATCTCTCCATAAAGAATGGCTCCACTAAGTCAGTTTGTGCATTAGAGTTAGATCTTGGACCCACTGCCAGTGGCCTTATATATTGTCCTAGCTGCACCTATATTAAGGAAGTCTAGTTTGGTCTTATGCAGGTTCCCCATTTGTCAGACTGGAGTCAGTGATCTCTCATTAACTTGGTTCAGCTGATTCTGTGGGTTCCCCCATCACGGTCTTGACTTTGTTCATATTATCACTCTTCTCTCACTTTGATCATACTCCAGGAGCTTGGCCCAGTGGTTAGTTGTAGATTTCTGTATCTACTTCTGTTTCTGGAAGAGGTTTTAGCTTCTTTGGGGTTGTGGATTGGTAGGCTGGATATCTTTTGCTTTATGTCTGTTCTCCACTTATGAGTAAGTAGATGCTGTATTTGTCTTTCTGGGTCAGATTACCTCATTCAGGATAGTTTCTTCTAGTTCTATTTGTCTGCAAATTTTAGGGGATAATTGTTTCTTACTGCTGAGTAGTACTCCATTGTGTAAATATACATTTTCTTTATCCTCAGTTGAGGGGTATCTAGGTTGTTTCCAAGATATGGCTATTACAATTAATGCTATGAACATAATTGAGTAAATGTCCTTGTAGTGTGAGTGTGCCTCTTTTGGGTATATTCTCAAAAGTGATATTGCAGGGTCTTGAGGTAGGCTGATCCCTAATTTTCTGAGAAATTGCCATACTGATTTCCACAGCAGCTGTACAAGTTTGCACTCCCACCACCAATGGGGAGTTGTGTTCCCCTTTCTTCACATCCTCTCCAGCATAAGCTGTCATTGGTGTTTTTTATCTTAGCCATTCTGATTGGTGTAAGATGAAATCTCAGAGTTGTTTTGATTTGTATTTCCCTGATGACTAAGGATGTTGAGCATTTCCTTAAGTGTCTCCCCACCATTTGAGATTGTTCTGTTGAGAATTCTATGTTTAAATCTGTACCCCATTTTTAAATTGGATTATTTGGTCATTTGATTTCTAGTTTCTTGAGTTCTTTGTATATTTTAGAGATCAGCCCTCTGTCAGATATGGAACTGGTAAAGATCTTTTCCTATTGTGTCGGGAGCTGTTTTGTCTTGATTGTTTCTTTGCTTTACAGAAGCTTCTCAGCTTCAGGAGGTCCCATTTACTAACTGTTGCTCTCAGAGTCTCTGCTGCTGGTGTTCTATTTAGGAAGTAGTCTCCTGTGACTAGGCATTCAAGTGTATTTCCCATTTTCTCTTCTATGAGGTTCAGTGTGGATGGATTTATATTGAGGACTTTGATCCATTTGGACTTGAGTTTTGTGCATGGTGATAGATATAGATCTATTTGCATTCTTCTACATGTGGATAGCCAGTTATATCATCACCATTTATTGAAGATGCTTTCTTTTTTCATTTTATATTAGCTTTTTTTTTTGTCAAAAATTAGGTGTTCATAGATGTGTAGGTTGATATCGGGGTCTTCAATTTGATTCCATTGGTCCACCTATCTGTTTTTATGCCAATATCAACCTATTTTCATTACTATAGCTCTATAGTAGAGCTTGAAGTCAGGGATGGTGATGCCCCCCGATGATCCTTTATTGTACAGGGTTGTTTTGGCTATTCTGGGTTTTTTTTGTTCTTTCATATGAAGTTGAGTTTTGTTATCAAATTATTTTGGCATGCAATAAGGTGATTATGTTTATTTTTAAAATTACATCACTTATTGAGAGAGAGAGAGAGAGTATGAGCACACATTAAGCTTAGGGGATAGTTTGGAGGAGATCTGTTATTTTCTTCTACCCTGTAGGTCCTGGGAATTGAAGTCAGGTAATTACCCTGATGGCAAACACACTTATCCCCCATGTGTATATGTGGAGGATTGTGAACTAATGGGCATGTGAACTAATCCAAGAGAAAGAGGCTGTCTCATGTTCTGCATGAAAATCTGCGATGAACTTTCTCCAAAGGCAAGAGAAAGAAAAAATGGGAAACATAGTGGGATGTAGGGAGGGCACCCACAGCTGTGAGAGCTTTAAGGATCCTTTGTGAGTGTCATTTGGGAACTGGATGAGACACCATGGCTTATGTGGGGAGTTTTGAGAGGGTTAATAGCTAGGAAAGTTTAATTATGTAAAGGTATGCTGCATCTGTTTCACCTTGCCTGCCGAAACCATCTGGTTGGTCCAATAAAGAGATGAATGGCCAACAGCTAGGCAGGGGTAGCAGGCAGAGAGAATAAATAGGGGAAATTTACACTTAAAAAGAAAACAGAAGAAAGAAGAATGAAACCAGGGGTGGTGGCGTACACCTTTAATCCCAGCACCGAAGAAACAGAGGCAGGTGGACTTTGTGAGTTTGAGGCCGGCATGGTCTATAGAGTGAGTTCCCAGGACAGCCAGGGCTATACACAGAAACCCTGTCTGGGGTGAGAGGGCAACAAACAAAAATACCAGGGGCCAGAAGCCAGGGAGCCACCAGGCAGCCAGACACAGAGAAATAGTTAAAGTAAGATATACAGAAGATAGGTAATAAGCCCCAAGGAAAAGGGTAGATAAAAAGAAAAAGGCTTATTTAAGGTAAAAGAACTAGCCAGAAACAAATGTAAACTAAGCTGAGCATTTAAAACTAATAATAAGCCAAATATCACAAAAAGTAACCACTCATATACCTTGTATGTGTCCCCTGCCCCAACCTTCTCCCGTACTGCTGTCTTCCATGGTAGTTTATTTGTTACAGCTGATGAGTTTACACTGTTAGATTCTCATGTAGTAAGTGGTTTACATTGTGGCTCAAATAGTGTGGTACATTCTGTGGGTTTGGACAAATGCATAATGACATTTACTCCCCAATATTATTTATAGTGGTATTCCAGCTGTTCTAATTTTCTGTTGCTGTGATAAACAACATGACTAAAAGCAACTCGAAGAGGAAAGGGCTTGTTTCAGTTTACAGTTCTAGGCCATTTAAAGGGAAGGCAGGCAGACTCAAGGCAGCAAGGAAGCAGAAGCTATGGAAGAACACTGCTTACTGGCTTGCTCTTCATGGTTTGTTTCGCCTGCTCTTTTCTGTTATCCACAAGCACTTGCCTAGGGTTCACACCACCTTCAGAGGATGGTTCCTTCCCCGTCAGTTGGCCACCAGAAAAATGCTCCGCTGACTTGTCTACAGGGTAACCTGATGGCAGTATCAGTAGGAGGGAGAACATGGGACTGTTTCAGACCTGGAAGTACTGTTTTCTATGTGAGTGTTTGATGTAATTGATTTGTTTTCATCTCAGTAGCAATGAGAACCAAAATTATTTTGAGACAGTTTGTGAAAGGGAAGCTTCAGCCTTGGCTCTCTGCAGAAAAGTTGAAACAGAGAGGAAAGGTTCTCTTCTGCTAATGCGTTGAGGTTTTAGTTTATTTCATCAGGGAGGGCATGACAGAGCGG